ATTGAGAACTACAATGCAACAGCCGCAAAGGCTGTTGGGAGTTGTAGTTCATGAATTCACAGAACACTGAATGAATGATTGTGTGGGTGGAGACCTGCATGGCCGCATTTTTTTAAAACTGTGACAGCTAGCGGGGAGGAAAAGATTCCCTTCTAGCTGTCACAACAGGGAGCAGGGAGGAGCGGTCTGTGGGAGTGGAGGATCAACTTTTTTGGTGGGAGGTTAAAGGCCTGAGTATACTTTTAATTTTTTACACTTTTTTTTCTCTTAACTGCATTGCTATCACATAGGGGACCAATAGCCCCAATATGATAGCATACTTATAGGCAGGGCTTTTTTTCTCAGAGAATAGGTACGGGAACTCCCCCCTTCTGAGCCACTTCTTGTCTCCAATCCCTACCCACCTCTGAGCACTATCCTTTGGTTCCACCCCTTATCCAGCTCCCAGTAACGCTTCTTTTAGAGAATATAGATCCAAGTATCATTTTGTGGTGCCAAGTAATTTGTATGGAATTTAATGATAGCAAGAAAAGCAGTAAAATAGATCTCCCAGCAACAATAGACCCTCGCAACAAAATACCACCCCAGCAACAATAGACCCCCATAAGCAACAATAGATCTCCCAGCAGCCAGAATCAATAGATTCTTCAGCAGCAAGCAACAATAGACCCGGTCCTCCCTCAACAATAGATTCCTTCCAGCAACAATTGAACTCAGCAACATAATACCCCCCCTTCCCCCACCAGCAACAATAGTTGCCCCAGTAGCCCAAAAGGCCCTTTAGCACACCCCAGCACCCCTTGCCATTCCATACATGCAGTGCAGGAGGTGCTGCGTTCCCCCACGTTCCTGCTAAAAAAAAAAATCCCAGCTTATAGGACAGGTTTTCTTTTACTAGATAGGGTCCATTTGATTCCAGAGGCCTTCTCTGAAGCTAATGGAGTGCAGATCACAAATACTCATTGCTTCCGGGTTCTTACTAGCTAGGGGAGGTCAGCAAATGTATTTCTTCCCTCTACCCAGCTACAACCACTTTGTGGGCCCTAGGCCTGCAGGTAGGATATGGATGCCCAGGACACTGGTAGTTCTTGAAACAAATACATTCATTAATTTCATTATACCTTTTTTCGGATTCGTTGACATTTGTTACTATGTTCATTCAGATATTCATATACTGTCACCTTCTTTGGGTTTTATATAGTCATGTAGAACATGAAGCATTGATGCATCACAAATCTAAAGGCATTTCTTTATAGATCTCTTTGTAGCTAAAAACAAACTTATATGTACATGCTTTTTTAACAACTTGCCGACCAGAGAGGTCCTCCTGCATTGTCAGGTTTGAGTGGTTATATCAGGGCCATGGTTGCAGCTGCTGTCATTGTGACAATTGTGCGCCATAGAGACACGGACACTGTACATGACAGCCATCTTGTTAGGTCTCAGCCATGTTCTCTCCTGTCCTCCCTCCTCCCTTTTAAATGGAATGCATAGCTATAAGCTGAAACAGAGGTCAAAAGGATCTCTTATCCTAAATAAAACACAGATAGATCTGCTCCAGGGCTGTAAACCACCAATTAGTCTGGTTCCAGGGGGTCTGCTTGAAAACTACTTTCCTCTGCCCGATCGTAAAACAATAACTCAGTCAGTCATGACCTGTTAGGCCATTAGGGCTAGAGTGTGCTATAAAACGTACATTCCACATGCATCATTTTTTATACAATTCATAAACTACAGCAGGAACTGGGCACATTAATATGAAGTATATATTCGGATAGATCATTTTAATATGAGTCATACAAGACCTTACATCACTATATTAGTACCTACAAGAGAGAAGACGCAGTCTCTTTTATCCTGAGTTACAAGGGTATGCTGTGTTTGGTATCTTTGCATTTAGAATATAATTCTAAATATTAATCTGCCAGTTGCTAGGATGCTACCTTTACCTATTGATGGTTATTTACCTTAGTATGAAATTGTAAGGGATTTTGTCATAACCTTGGTTACCGCCTAACTGGATGATTGGTCATTTGTTCTCAGGAGACACCCCTTTGATATGATAGAAAAAGACTGACAGCCTGGAAAAAGACAGCTCTCCTTTAACATCTATCAGAGAACATCTACAGACTTGAGAGCCAAGGCAACCTTTTTGTTCGGACAATTGGACTCTGCTCAAACCAAGGACTTTTGCAGGTATTCTGCCTTCTGAACTCCTTTCTTTTATTTCTCTGTTGTTTTACTGTTCTCTTTATATCTTTGTTACATCTTTTTCTGTAAATATTTTAATTGCACCATTTTGGCCTATTTAATAATAAATCCTATTTTTTGAAAAGTGTTGAAACGGTCTCTAAATCTTTTAATGCAAACTAAAGAATCCCTGTCTCTGAAGAGTGCTACTGTATGTAATAATCCTCTGAATATATCTGTCTGTGGTGACAGTGTGTATTAGAGACGCTTATACTAATATCATAGTGTTACTGCTAAGATTTGTGAGTTTCCTCTTTCTCTGTAAAAAGGCGGTGGTAGCAGTGTGAACGGTTAATTGCATAATTGACCTAACCCAGTAATAATCACTCTCAGGCTGGTGGCACATAGATTGTAGTCCCGCGAGCTGGAAAATTTTTGTGCAGGGTGCAGCTGAGTTGGGGCTATGACTTCTTTTTATCTCACTTCTTTAGTATTACCTCTTCACCTCTATGCCTTCAATGGATTCTAGAATTTAAAATGTCATACAGGTTTGATTAGATCTACCTATACCCAACCCCCTTGGGGTAGACACACAATTTTCTAGTGTACTTACCATCCTGTCCTATACCACTACTTCACATTTATCAGTCAAAAGGGCTTATTAGAGGATTGATCAACAGCGTTACCATAAGGATTCGTCCACATCAAGTCATGTTTATGCTGGTTTGGTCTATACTCTTGGTTAAACATATATATTTCTTAACGGACTGAGAGATATCCCATACCATATCCCGTCTGCGAAACGGGCAGTTTTCAAACTGTGTCTATGTTCGAACCGTAACCTGTACATGTATCTGTATTAACCTCCCTAGCGGTCTGATTATGTCATATTTCTGTGCTGAAAGCGGTAAATTTTTTTGCATGGAAATATGTATTTTTTTTTTATTGTAGGCCTGTAATTTTTAGGAATAACTCACTGAAATCTGTCCGAACAAGAGTCTAGTAAACATCCCGGGTATGTTACAATTTGAAACACAAAAATCATAAATTATAATTTAATTAATGATCACAAAAAATAATAATATAATAATAAATTTATTTCAATAATATAATCAAACCAAAAACACTGAAATTTGAAATTGAGCGCAAAGTTCGCACATCACTGAGCAAAGTCGCAATATCGTTTTCAGTGTCTGATGACAAATTTCCCCACGAATCATTATCACTCAATTCTGCAAGTGGTTCTGATTTACTATCGCTGTTTTCTAGCTGGTCTAAAACAGATTTTGACCTAAAGGGACGCTTTTTGGACGCCATGGACATTTCTCAGTTTCCAGGCAGAAAGAACAGTAAAAATGCAGGCAGGGCAAAAGACAAAGCACTCGGGACAAAATGTATGTGAAATGATTTGATACAGTAATGTTTTACTATATGATTTTAGTGTATTTAGTGAATGTCACTTTTTGTAATTTTCAAATTTCCCGCCGTTTCGTCCCCGTACGTCCCGACGCTCGCAGGGGACAGAACCCAGATGACAAATGCCGGAGGACATTGCCGGGGACACTGCAGGAGGGACATCGCGGGAGCGCAGGACAAGGTAAGAGATTGAGGGATCCCGGAGCAGCGCCGCATGGTAAGCCTGAGTGTAGCTCGGGAGTTACCGCTTGTGGTACTGAAACTTTACCCCGAGCTACACTCGGGAATGCCACCAGGGGTGTTAATCTGCCTTAATCCTTTCAATAAAACAATTTTTTGAAAAAAAAAATTCATTAAAGTGTTTTTTTTCCCAAAAAATTGCATTTAAAAAACCTCTGCGCAAATACCCTGTGACATAAAGAATTGCAGCACCCATTATTTTATTCACTATGGCCTCTGCTTTAAAAAATATATATTATTTTCAGCGGTAATAAGTAATATTCTAGCAAAAAAATGCTGATTTTTATAGGAATGTCAGAATTGGCCTGGGGGTTAAGTGGTTAACTGTGTTTTTGTTTTTTTCTTTCCAATATGTTTATTAGATTTTCAGTAGAAACATGACAATAGAATTTGATAATTACACTTGCAAGAATAATAGCTTTCACCTTCATCGTTTGGAAGTGTACAGCAATAAATTAGTCAGACAAAGGTAACAGGTTAACAACTATAATTATTCCCTAAATAACACAGTCCAAAGGTCTTAATCCTTATACTGGGAGGATATATGGGCTAAGACCCAGGTACACCCCCATTACTAAAATGAAAAACAGGGGCCCAAGGGCCTTATCAGATCCCATAGTAGGAATAGGAACTAGGAAGAGGAAAGAATTGTAGAAAAAGGAGAGAAGTGCACCCGATCCAGAGAGGAATTACAGACCCAATTGTATCATGTTAGGCATCTGAGAGATATCTGATCCTGAGGTCCTTAATTTTTTTAAAGTAATCCAGTCTGTTTTTCAAGATTACTGAAAGGCGTTCATTAACCGCTTCCCGACCGCCCTATAGCAGAAGCACTGCTACAGGGCGGCAGGGCTGCGCAAAATCACGTATGTATACATTTTTACATTTCTGGGTAGGGGGACGCGTGCGCAGCCCTACCTGCACCGCTATTGGCGGCTACAGATGTCAATCATCGGCTCCTGTCCAGAGATTCCCTCCCAGCACCCACTGCTTGCCAAGTATTACTGACAACACAACACAGGTTTTCTCTCCTGCCAGCAGTAACATTCTGCTGTGTATTTCTTTGCACAGCAGAGAAATACACAGCAGTATGTTTCCCTAGTAAAACACATACATCACACACAGTAAAACAGCACACAGTTAACCCTTTGATCGCGCCAGATGTTAACCCCTTCCTGCCCAGTGTCATTAGTAGTGTCAGTGCTTTTTATTAGCATTGATCACTGTATTAGTGTCATTGGGATGTTAGTGGCAGTTAGTTCCCCCCAGTGTCAGAATGCCTGCCGCAGTCCTGCTATAAGTCACTGATCGCTGCCATTACTAGTATAGAAAAGTTTTTTTTTGATAAATTTCCAGTATATAGCCATTTGTAGAGGCTGTAACTTTCACGTAGACCAATTAATTTACACGTATTGGGATTTTTTTTTAGCAAAGACATGTAGCAGAATATTTTTTGGCCTAAATTTATAAAGAAATTAGATTTTTAAATTTTTTTTACTGGATATGTTTTATATTAAAATGTCAAAAATATTGTTTTTATTCAAAAATGTCAGCCTTTTTTTTTATAATGCAAAAAATAAAAAACTCACCGGTGATCAAATACTACTGAAAGAAAGAATAAATTAAAAAAATAAATTTAATTTGGTGCAGCGTTGCATGACTGTGCAATTGTCAGTTGTAGTAACGCAGAGCTGAATTGCAAAAAATGGCCTGGTCAGGAAGGGGGGTAAATCCTTTGAAGGGCAAATGGTTAACCATGATCCAAGACAACTTGGATTTCAATAGGTAAAAAGAGATCGAAGGCGATTTCCAAGATCTAGCAATGGAGATCCTAGCTGCTGCAAATATAAATGTAATGAGCCTCCTTGTGTGTCCCGGTACCCCCTCCACTGGGTGTCCAAGTAAAGCTTGTAATGGTGATTTAGGAAGATTTACTTCTGTGAGGGAGTAAATAAAATTATACGTGCCGATCCAAAATCTTCTGACCTTGGGACAAGTCCACCAAGTTAGGTACATTGTGCCATCTTGGCCACAGCTATGGAAGCACAGTGGGAAGGTTCCCAGGATATAAGATGCTATTTGCACTGGAACCATATACCATGTTAAGAGGACTTTATAATTTGCTTCTATTGATAAAGGCTTTAGATGCATATGATGCCAACCTATACCAATCGTCTACTGCTAAGTCCTCTCCCATATCATATTCCCATTTATATATATATAAAACAACTTGGAGGAGGCTGAGGTTAAAATATTATAGATTTTTGTTATATGACCGGAGTGGTTGTGGAAGGTCCTGCATAGATGTTCCATTGCAGTAGAGGATGTTAGGTCAGAAGTCTGGTGTAAAGACTTTAGTGTGCTAATTGAGTATAGCGAAAAAATTCTCTGAGTTAGGTAGCTGGTATTTTTCCTGCAGGTATTGCCTTGACAAGACACCCCTAAGGTCACATTAGTCAGCAATTTGTAATAAACCCTTATTATTCCACCAGGCAAAATCTTGGGGGTGGAGACCTGGGGTGAAATTTGGATTCCCAAGTATCATAGCCAGAGGTGCATAAGGAGATTTGAATCTATGTGTTGCCATTAATCTGTTTCACAGACTCAAAGAAAATGAGAGGGTTGGGGCCAATATCACCGGTCTGTCTTTTGCTCGCAACCACATTAATTGGCTAATTGCCTTAGACAGAAGACTCTATAGACATCCAAAGCAGATGAGGCTGCCCTGTGTGAAAGCAAATCAACTGTACCAACTGTGCTGCTTGATAGTACTTGCTCAGGTCTGGCACTCCCGATTCCCCTCTCGATTTGGGCCTATCTAAATTTTGCCTATTCACCCTGGGTTTCTTGTTTAAACATATAAACTTCATCAGTTTTTGCTGGAACAGTTATAAGTTGGACATATGGACAAAAACTGGAGTTCTAAACAAGTATAATACTTTTGGTAGTATGTTCATTTTAATTGAGTACAATCGGCCAAACCATGAAGGAGGATTGGCAGTCCATCTATTGAGGTCTTCTAATAATTTTTTGTACAATGTGTGTAGAGTAGGAGTAAGAAAGATGCCTAGATAGGGGAAGAGCTTCTGATCTGAAAGAAACTGAGTCTTGTAAAGTGTGGTCTGCTAGGGATAAGTTAAGCGCTAGCGATTTAGAATGATTCACTGTGAGGCCAGAGATGGACATGAAGCATCGTAAAACCGAGTACAAATTTGGGAAGGAAGTGAGTGGAGAAGTAAGAATCATCAAGATGTCATCCGCTAACAAGGCACATTTATGTTCCCGATCCCTGCAGTAGACCCCTTGTATGTCAGGTGAACTATGGATCTTGATTGCTAAGGGCTCCTAGGCCAATATAAACAAAATTGGGGATAGGGTGCAGTCCTGTCTTACCTCTATGTATAGCAATAGGTTGCGTACCATGTTCCTTCACCAACAAACGAGCCATGGGTTTATCTTATATCATTTGTAGGATTTGGATACATTTGGAGTCAAACCCATAACGTTCCAGGGCAAAGAGATATTCCCAGGATACGGAATCAAAAGCCTTGTGGAGATCCAAGGACAACAACATACCCCGTCTCTTCCCACCTCCATCCCAATAAGATTGCAAGACTGATATGATATCGACCAGTCGTCTGGTTTGATCTGATTCCTGCCTATTAGGTACAAACCCTGCTTGATTGGAGTGGATATAGTTAGCGAGAAAGGAGTTCAAGCGATAAGCTAAGATTTTTGGCAACATTTTGAGGTCTACATTTATTAGTGAAATTGGGCGATAGTTCACACAATCACCATGGTCTTTGCCTAATTTGGGGATGACATGGATGTAGGCATTGTTTTCATTGGGCAATAGTGGAATGCTCTTTCTCAGATCATTATAGAAGGAGCATAAAGGAGGGGTTAATAGTTCTGCCTATTTTTGGTAGTAGCGTGTGTTTTTGTTTGTTTTTGACTACAGTTGTCCTTTAGGGCCAGTTCTCACCTGAATCGCAAATGGGCTACAATTGCACTGGACTATACAGAAAGTGGTGCATGAACTACTTTTCAAAGATGCACTGCATTGTACCAGGCAAACGCACTGCGTTTGCGATCTGCACTGGAGGTGTTGTTAGGAATTTATTGACACCTGTAGCAGATCGCACACCCAGTGCATTTTAAACGCGGTGTGGGAAACGCGCATGGAACGTGAGTTTTCTCATACTGCGCTCTGGTGTGAAAGAGCCCTTAAAGAGATACTGCTGCTATTCAGGGCAAAGTGACAATGTCATCCTATAGCACAGGAGTCTTCAAATTTCAGCACAAGGGCCACAACATGTATATTTTACAAATAATCACAGGCAAAAAAATTTTTTTTTAGTTTTCTAAATCAATATGATATGATTTCAAACACCAGAAAACAGTGTCAGTAATACAAAGCAAAGGAATTCCTAATAAATTTGAGCCCATTAGAGTCCCCCTTACATCAAAGTCTCCATCACAGGCCCCTTACAACAGAGTGCCCATTAGACTCTTCCTTACATCAGAGCCCCCCTTTGATGAGAGTCTCCCCTTAAATGAGAGTCCCTGTTAGAGTCCCCTTTTGCATCAAAGTCCCCATCAGAGTCCACCTTACATCCAAGGGGTGAATTTGACCCGCAGGCCATACCTTTGAGACTCCTGCTATAGCCACCCTTCTCCAGGTATGTATACTTACCCAGCCAAGCTCCCTGCTGTATCCTCGCTGCAGCTCTCCTGCCTGTCTAAGTGTTGACATGGCTGCTACGGCCTGAGCACTGTCATATAGGGAAGGTTACATACTCCCCTATACCTGGAACCCTGCACCTTATCAATTATGTACACCCCTTGAATAGGCAAAGTGACAATGTGTCTGTAAGAAGATCAATAAATTCAGTGAATAAGTAAATGTCTGTAGACAATGTATTGATCTTATCTTAAATAGCTAAACTTAATTATTTATTGCGTGGTAAGCTCCAAAAAGCTGAGGATTTCTCTGTACGCAGCATTCTGCAGTGTGGTGCCAACTAGTCTGAACACAGCATTCACCATGTAAACTGTATTTATATTTCCTTGTCATCACTTATGTAGTGCCACAAACTCCAGGCACATATAAAAAAGCAAAAATTCTGGCATGTTTGTATTTTTAAATGAAACTAGCATAAGTAAGTGATTTGGCCAGTCATCTGTCATTTAGTCCTCATGCACACTGGACATTTTTACAGTGGCTGTTTTTGGCTTTTGACGTTTTTTTTCTACAGCCAACAACCCCCCCCCAGCATGTTATCCTATGTGTCCATGCACACATAGACCGTAATCAATGTTTTTTGGCAGGGGCGTCTTTTGGCTGGAAAAAAAACCCAGGACTAGTGGGTTTCTAGATGAGTTTTTTAGCTGTAAAAACGCTCTAATGCTGAAAAACGTGGCGAAATGCGGTAAAACACTGGTAACATTAGCTGTGTAAAGTCACGTTTAAAAACATGAGTTTTCAGCTTTTTTTAGGGTTTTTGCATTAGCGTTTAGCGTCGATTTCCTGCGCTTTTCCGCTTTTATTTTTTTTACAAAAAAAATTTTTTATTGGTCAAAAAAATCCGAAAACGCCGGATTGTGGCTTTTTACTGCGTTTTGTCACGTTTTTCAGTGTTAGAGCATTTTTACAGCTAAAAAAACTCCTCTAGAAACCCACTACTAGTGGGGTTTATTTCCAGCCAAAAAAACATCCCAGCCAAAAAACGTTGATTACAGTCTATGTGTGCAAGGACACATCGGATAACATGCTGGGGGGTTTAGGCTGTAGAAAAAAACGTCAGAAGCCAAAAACAGCATCTGTAAAAACATCAAGTGTGCATGAGAATGAAGAGGGAAGGGCAGCACAAAGAGCAAATCAAGTGTGATGCGATGTGTGCACTGATAAATAACATACTAAGACCTCATTCACATACACCCGTGCTAAGGGCCATGTTCACCCGTGCAGGATGCACAGGTGCTGGCAGCCTGTTTAAATTATTGACAGGCAGATTGCTACATGGACCTGCATTGATCTTTATCCTGGAGTGTACATCCATATGGGTTCAATGCATGGATCAGAACCAGGGGCGGACTGACCATTTGGAAACTCGGGCAGTGCCCGAGGGCCTGGGGTCAGTAGAGGACCCCATGAGATGCCCCTGGTATCTTTTTCAGAGGCTTTTTTGAGTTTGGGCCAGGACACAGGAGCTCCATGATCCCCTATTTCCCGGGGGGGGCCCCATGAGTTGTCAGTCCGCCCCTGATCAGAACATGTGCATTGGACATGCAAGGATGTACACGCAAGTGAAATATGGTGTCTAAGTGAAAGACAGAGATGACCTGATCAGTCTTCCTTTCCATCACTGCTCAGTTGCAGGCTGTGGGCGAGGAGGGGAACAGACTGTATTGCATAACAGC